GTATATATAATGTATATATGTATAAAAAATATATATATTTTCATATCTTACATAAAAAATACAATTTAATTTTTCTAAAAATACATAACAAATACGTTTGATTTTTCTAAAATGTTTATTTTTTATTTATGCTATTGAAATATAACGTTTATGTTAATAATAAGGTTAATGTTAATTCAAGTACGAGCGGGAGTTGACAAAACATGGCGGACCAATCAAAAGGGCTGCGTTCCAAAATTCTACTCGGTAGGTAGAGTACATATAGGTTGCTTTCCAGCAAGAGACAAGTCGACACTGGGTGCTTTCCAATTGTTTAACACATCTTGACACATACGTACACAAAACCAATTTATTGGTTGCATATTATCTAAAATATCTTGTAAGATAATATACAATCAAAACTGGTTTTGTGTAATACACAAAACATAACTGGAAAGCACCCACAAATATCATTTCCAGTTGCATACACTGTGTTACACAAAACCAGTTTATTGGTTGATATTATCTTACAAGATATTTTAGGTAATATGTGACCAATAAACTGGTTTTGTGTACGTGTGTGTCAAGATGTGTTAAGCAATTGGAAAGCACTCTATCTTTGTTAAGCCCGTATCAGACTATAGATTAGGATTGAGATTGAATTGAAATTTAGCCAATCAGAGCAAAACTCACTAAGCTCAAGTTTGGTGAACATTGCTCTGATTGGCCAATTTTCAATTCAATCTCAATCTTAATCCGTAGTCTGATACGGGCTTTACTAATTAAATTTGAAACAAAGACAGAATAATGTTTGTGTCGACTTGTGTCTTTTGCTGGTAAGCAACCATAATTGACCAATTATAATAAAGACATCTTAGTTATCTTTGTTCTTATTGGTCAAAAAAATGCTACTCTATCCGTCGAGTAGAGTTTTAGAACGCAGCCAAGTGGTTAGCTGTTGGTCAGTTTCTGTTTTAGGGTCTCTAGTCTCTACGATAGTAAACACACGAGAAGAAGAATTTAAGTGATCCTTTTCACCGAGAATTTGTAGTTGTTGACACGATGCCGAAGTACTATTGTGATTATTGCGACACGTATTTGACGCACGACTCACCAAGCGTACGAAAGACACATTGCCAAGGTCGCAAGCACAAGGATAACGTTAAATACTTCTATCAGAAATGGATGGAGGAACAAGCTCAGCACCTTATCGACGCAACAACCGCTGCCTTCAAAGCTGGTAAAATTGCCTCCAACCCCTTCGCGGCGAACAAGGGTGCAGCGATACCACCCCCGCCGAATCTCGGCTCCAGTTTGGGATCGCGATCTGGCGTGCCACCTCAAGGCCCTCCGGGAATGATGCCACCGCCAGGGATGCACCCGGCCGGCCCAATGGGTCCTGGTGGTCCTATGATGATGGGCCCACATGGGCCAATGCCGCCTCCAATGATGGGCATGAGACCTCCTATGATGGGACCGATGGGGCCAATGGGTCCTATGATGGGTCCTATAGGACCCATGGGACATATGAGACCTCCGATGAATGGACCACCACCTCCAATGGTAGGACCACCACCCATGAAGAAATAACAGGCAGACTCTTGATTTGTGTATTATTTATGTATGTCTGATCAAATTTATTACTTTATCGTACTGGAATTGGTGATGTGTGTTGGTTGTATGATATTGCTGAGACATTATTGTACAGTTGAAATTTCTACTTATATAAGATTGAAGTAACTCTGCAGTCAAGATAACATTAGCAGTATCGATATGCTTCAAAATGACGTGTTCTATGCTGAGTAAACGTAACATTGTCAATAACATTCATATTTTATTTTGTACCACATGTTTGATATTGGATGCGTAAAAGATTTTTAGGATATAGATAGGTTTGACATTAAAGTTACTCAATTTTCAAAATTTTGCTGATACACATGTATATATGAGATCATACATGAAGTCATGGTGATAAATGCATACATATTACACAAGTACATATAATAAGTACATGTAATAAGTACATATATAACACATAACACTGAAGTTCCTAAAACAAATGTTTGTAATATTTCAGAAAATCATTCTTTAACACTTGATTCAAACATATAATGATATAAAGGCAATTTCTAATTATTATAACATGTAGTTGTAATTTAAAATATCCGATTAACGATAAACAGACAATACTCAAAACCAAATTGTCCGCTAATATGAGAAATAAATAAATTATTTATGTTTTAGGAGCTTCAGTATCTATTTAATAGATTTACTTATTACATCAAATATTTCAAACTTTGTTACAACAGTACATTCCTCTTAGAATGTATCTCTCTTGCAAAATGAAAGTGATTAATTTGGTGAATTTGTTATATTTTTGATAATTCTGTATAATTGTAGGTCATGTTTTTATAAAATTTTGGTAATTTCGATGAAAATAGATAATATGTAATCATTTCCTCAACATGATATGTATATTTAACGACACATCTAATAAATAAATCTACTCATGTCTTTGTATATATAAAAATAATATATAAAAATATTTCATAATTTCACGATTATCAATAAAAACGCGCGTAGACCGCTGTAAAGGAACTATTAATATTGCTGAATTTCTTGTATTTCCAACGGTTCCACAGAATTACTAGTCATACTTCTATAGAATCATAATAATGATTTCAGAAAGAACAATAGTAATAAGTAGTTATTTTCTCAGTACGATAGACATATCACATATAACATCTCTGATAGAATAGTGCCTTTGTGTATAAAATTACCAGGGTTGGGTAAGTTAATACATTTTTTTAACTAAATTGAGTTCAAAGTTAAAGATTTCAAAGAGTTCAAAGTTAAAGAAAATTAACTTAGTTGTATTAAAAGTTAAATAAAAATTAAATTAACTTTTTAATTATAAATTTTATTTATATAATGTAATGAAAAAAAAATATATATAAGTCCTTTATTATTAGAAAATTATTAGAAAAAAATATAATAGAGTAATTAAATTTTTATGAAACAGAGAGTTGCACTATATCTGTTTCGAGTATTAATTATAAATAATATTTAAAAAAAATAACAAGCATGAAATTTTTATTTCATTATATGATAGATTTAACTCTCTGTAGGAATACGAATCAAAGAATAATCAAAGAATTCTGTAGATTCTGACTAGTTTAGGAAACAATGTTAATAAATTTATATCAATATTCTCTCTTTCGCTTGCTCATTTGCTTTTTCTCTCTCTCTCTCTCTCTCTCTCCCCTCTCTTTCTCTCTTTTTCTTTCCTTTCTCTCTCTCTCTCTCTCTCTCTCTCTCTCTCTCTCTCTCTCTCTCTCTCTCTCAAAGCTAAATAAAAATATAAACTTTCTTCAATTAATTTTTGAGCAAGTCATACGTTCTTTGAACGACATCGATAAATTACTCATTGCCCACATAGAGAACATCTCACACATAGTTTATGTTGCCTACACGTACTACAAGCAACTCCGTTAGTGTAACTGAGTTCTCTGTAACTTGACGACGAGATAAAAAACTCGGTTGTAGGAATAGAGATATTTCTATAAGAGGTTTCTACTCAGCCAATTGCTCCCGTTACTTTAACCGAGTTTTAATACAGCCAAAGGTTCAGAACGTTTTCAGTTACAGTAACAGAGACATTATTTCTTTTTAGTGAATTTTTTGCTTGGTCCCCATTCAATTATCTATAAAAACATTTTTCCGTGTAAACGTAGACTATCATAATTTACACGGAAATGCCCAACCCTGCACATCAAATATAGATAAAATTATTGTAAGATATCACACAGTTATACAATATCATACTGAACAACCGTTAAATAAACGGGCGTGAATAAGAAACCGTCGCGAAGAAATTTTCAATTACAGTGATTGTGCAATATTTTTAATTGCTTCAGACGATTATTTTCTATTATTATCATATTTTCCACTTTACGAAGGTATTTCAATTTGAGTTTTTTCCTACTCTCCAATCTTTCCAATCTTTCTATTGCTTTTATCAAAGGGGATGTTTGAAACGCACGAGCCTGATCTTCAATTTTCTTCGCATTTCTTACAAACTTCCCGAACGGTATTTGTTCTTCACTACTTGATACAAGGCTTGCCTGGGTCGATAGATATTTTTGATTATCACTTTGATTACTCGCATTTGACTTGATTTCCGGTAAATTAGTGTTAATATTTAAGTTATTTATTAACCACTGATTATATTTTTCTCCCGAATTTTCCGATTGAAGCGACACCGATGCATTCAAACCTATCATATTTATATTTGGGTTGGTCATTGGTAAATTAGTATTAATATTTATGTTATCTGTTGACCATCGACTATCGCTTCTTTTCGTATTTCCCGATTGGATCGATATTGGCTCGACATCAAGTGGTAGAATATTCTGATAATATTGCATATAATTTTTTATTGCGCTGCTAATCCCTGACTGATAAATATCGACGTCTTTCACATTAATAATATTTGACGTATTATGAGTTACGTTCCGAACGTTAGTAACCGCGTTGGGATTTACAGTTATGTTGATTTTTTGTGGCGTATGAAAAAACGAGGTCGCAAATGGTACTGAGTGGGTTGGATTAGCATTTAAGGGGAATTCTTCTTGCATTAAGTCCTCTTGTTTCTTTGGGAATTGCTTCTCCGGAAATGGTTTCACTATATGTTTCAATATATTTCGTAAATTCGGCGGTGTATGGGGTGTACATATATTATTGTAGCTGAGAAGAATACCAAGATAAGTGGCCGCATCGAGCTGCCGAGTCATGACTCGACACTTGAGTATTTCTGTATATGCCACGATCTTACGAAAGTGAGTACTCGGCTCTGGATGGGTGTGAATGAATGCAAGAAGTTCAGATTGTATATCTTGTACACAGGTTTGCATACGAAAATATTCTTCGTTTTTGGACATATTATGCAGGTTACTCTTGAGGTTGTCCATGATATCCAGAAGCCACAACGGATTCTTGATGTCCTTGTAAAAGTGCAGCAAGTTCAAATCCTTAAGAAAGTTCCACATATGGCCGGTGTTCATGGGTAGATTCACGTCTAGCCCATTCTGTTTCTCGGAGAACGGAAGATTCAGCCAGTAAAGCAATAGATGGAATAACAGGTGGATGCAATCTTTCGGCGCCATCAGCTGTGTCATTACTTCAGATTTACCAGGCAGCAGACCTATGATTGCCTCAAACTCGACTATCTTGTGCAACTTCTTGAGGAAGATTGGGAGGACGGTGCCATTTGAGAATTTGTTTTCCAGAAATTGCATCCCTTCCGAATACAGCTCTTTGTGCTGAGAAAGATTAATCACCAACGCTTGTGCGTCGTGATCGTTTTTATAGCGATAATTCCCGCAACTATATATAATTTCAGCAAATCTTAAAGTAGCGACTTGCGACATCGGTATCGCTTGTTCTTGTGTGTTTTGTACACACGCTTTCTCATAGATGTTCGCACTCGACGACGACAATGACGTGTACGTATAGGGAAATGATTTTGGTAGCGCTTCCGCCATCGACATATTACCATATATCTGCTGGCTCGGCATTGTATTGCTTTTCGCTCTAAACGGCGAAATATCCACAGTCTCGATATTCATTGTGATTCTCTCTGAATTGACTTTCAACTCGTCCTTTCGTGCAATTCGTTATGTACGCTGGAGATACTCCTCGCATGCAATGGACTCGTGGCTGCGCTGGAGATGATTTTAATAGGGATAGACGCAGGATGGACGCTACCCCTTGTAAACTATGGAGTGGAGGGGATAACGCACACAGTTGAGAGACGCGTACACTCAAGTACAAAACGGTTTAGAAACAATGAAGTCGGCATCTTGTCAAACTGTCAAAATTGAGAATTTTTACTACATGATCCCTAGCAGTATATATTAGTTAGTCAACGGTCGATTCAACATTGATTCAGTGCTTTGTGCTATTTAAAATGGGCTTTCATACAATAATTACATTATCAGTTATTACTATTACTTATTATTTATATAATAATATTATTAGTTATATTATTATTACGTAAGCTGTCGTCGATAATTATTCTCAATTGGCCGTAGTTATATAAGAATGCTTCAACACACAAAATTATGATTTTTGAATTTTTGCCATCAATGCGTAGTCTACACTCTTTTCTACATAAAAAAAAGAGAGATCTAAACCTTATAAGTGTTAAAACTAATTAAAAACAATTTTTTTACTAGCTGTGCCGCTTCTTATTAGTTGCATATTTTCTACCTATTTTTAAAGAGTTAAACTTATCAATAAATATCTATAAACAAAATTGACCGTGCTTGACTTTTTAAATTATTGTGAAAACCTCAGTGCTATTTATATGTTTTACATTTCAATCAAATTCGCATTATTTTTTCAAAATATACTATTGTAATATAAATCATAATGGAATAACGCACACGACTAAGAGCCACGTACATGTGCACTTCTCTCGACACGGCTCTCGGTTACTATGTATCATCCCTTCGATTACGGCTTAGGGGTTGTGTTCCCATTCTGGCATCGGCTATCTCTCCCTTGCCTATATTTTAGATTTTTTCTGGAAATATACATGTGATTTGGATAATTGTTGCATAATATGGCCAATTTTGACAATTTGGTGAACTTCTAACTTCATTGTATCAAAACATAAGCAGCACAAGATCTGCAGGATGGAATGTCCTGAGAACGTTCTCTGGGTAGCGATCATGAATCTTTCCCCTAGTGTGAACTCGTGAAAAGTGAAAATTTTGTAATAAACTCGTGAAAGATGAAAACCTTCACTAAACTCGTGAAAAATGAAAGATTTAACGTGAATTTGTAAGTAAAACAAATATTACAATATACTCAAGACAACACCAATTTGCAATGGACATCTTTAGAATTTTTTCAGTATGTTTTTAAGACATAATGATGTCTTTAGAACGTCCCTTGGAAGTCTGCTTGTCTGGGATTACTTTAAGATAAATTATTAAAAGATAAAATATTCTATTCATATTAAAATTATAAATCTGCAGAAAATATATATTTCATATAAAATAATACATAAAATATATCCCTTATAGAAATGTAATACTTATAGAAATGTAATACTGATAAGTAATAATTTGGCCAGTGATAATTACTGTACGAGTAATAAAATTATTGAACGACAGTAATTATCACTGGCCAAATTATTACTTATGAGTATTACATTTCTATAAGGAATGCAATAAATACATACATTTAATAAACTAAATTTATTAAATACATACATAAAATAAACTTACATTTTATTTACTGCATACAATTTATAATATATTACACTTTAACTTTCTGATGCATACGTATCTTAACTTTATGCTTTCACTGCCTATACGTCATCACGCTTCAATTGGCTTTCGTTGTTCATTTTTAATGGACGTAGGATTTTTATGTCAAATGCCAATTGTCGTATAATCATAAAAATTAAAGTCACTATAAGAAATTCTACTCACTTTGTACATAATATGCGAGTGTAGTATTACATTATTTTCCACAATTAAACCACATCGCTTGATGCTTAAAAATTTTCATGAAAACTTACACAATTTATATGTAAAGAAGAACATATATGAGCAAACTGAAAGTTCACGTGAAATATTTCACGTTTTGAGAATTTACCTTTCACGGTTAACGTTCATCTCATTTATTAAATTTACTCATATTGTATTATTATATTATATTATAACTATAAATTAAAGTTGTATAATGCTTATTAATATGTTATATATTACATTGTGTATATTGTAATTACATTTTAATTTTAATAATCTATATTACATAAATATTGCTTTCCACATTTTCATTATGTTATTTCACCTTTCATGTGAAATAACTTACAGTGAAAAGTGAAAGATGAAAATGAAGTTCACGTGAAAGATTCATGATTGCTACCCAGGACGTAGGAACGTTCTCTTTAGGATGTCATGTAAAGATTTATGTTGTCAGGGAATCGTTTTACAATCGACTGTACACGTGCGCCCCTTTGACGCAACGCTCGGTTGTGTGTCCACTAAGTTTTATGAGGGGTAGTGTCTCTACTATGTTATCACTGCACTGCAGTGCAATTGGCTCGTTGATTTTATCCCTTTACCAATGATGTCGAATTGGAGATATTGTCCCGCATAAATCGTAATGGAATAACGCACATGACTAAGAGCCACGTACATGTGCACTTCTCTCGACACTGCTCTCGATTACGTATATATCCTAATAGCACGCATGTTCAAAAGACGTCCAGAGAACATCCAGAAAACATTCAGAGGACATTTTATGTTCTATGGATATCCACTGGACGTTCCCTGAATATTGCATGCTATTAGGGTATCATCCCCTCGATTATGGCTTATGAGGGAGTTGTGTTTCCATTCTGGTATCGACTATCTCTCCCTTGTCTATATTTCATAGATTTTTTCCGGATATTATAAGTTTTTTATCTATTATATAAGTTTTTTATCATATCGACAGCCAATCAACGACAGATTTATTAGGTGCATCCAGGGGGTTGATTGTGTCTCAAAACGAAGTGAAATTGACAAAAGTGAGCAAATTTACTAGAATATTTGTAACTTTATTGGTCAATGCCTAGTGAATTTGCTCACTTTTGTAATTTTCACTCCGTTTCGAGATACACAATCAACTCCCAGTATTATTAGGACCTTAACTTAGTTTCCGCCCAAAAAATACTGAGAAAAAGCATTTATTGCAAAAAATTTATTTAAATTATTTCAATGAAAGTATTTTCCATCACTTTCTACAACTTTTTGCCATCTTTCTGGCAACTGGGCGATACCATCTCGATAAAACGATGTTTGTTTCGAAGCAATCCATTCGTCCACCCATTCTCGCACTTCTTCAACATTTCGGAAGCGTGT